AAAAAAAAATCAAAAAAGAAGAAAGACTACATGACGTTATCAGAAAAAAATGATGGGGAGATATGCGAGGAGTTGGAGGGAGGGAGTGGACGTGGATTTGATCAAAACACATTATATGCATGTATGAAATTCTCAATATATTATTTTTTAAGGGCAAAAAAATTAAAAAAAAAAATTTAAAAACACAGAAAAAAGCTGGATGTGATGGCGCATGCCTTTAATCCCAGCACTTGGGGGGCAGAGGCAGGCGGATCTCTGTGAGCCTGGTTTACACACTGAGTTCCAGGCCAGCTTGGGCTACAGGGTGATCCTGTTTCAAAAAGACCAAAAAAAAAAAAAAAAATCCAAAACATAGAAAAGATAGGACTAGAAAGAGGAACAGGGAGGGGATAGTCAAGATCAGAGAGCCAAGTAGGATGGGGGAGTGGTGACCAGTGAGGGGAAGGTGACCAGCACTCACATCCAGTGCAGGTGTGGCTAGCAACACATGGGTTGATTGCAGCACATCAGCCGCATGTAGGCTGTTGTGATAGGCCACGTCAGCATGGTAATGGTCCTCCAGTGTCAGCGTGTATGTTACCATGGTGTCCACTGGGATTCGGAATTTCTTCAGCAGGTCCCGTTCCTGGAAGCCAAGCAGAGACAGGGCGGTGACACCTGCTGGCATCTAGCACCCTGCTCCACACCCCTTGGATCCCAGCCCACTCCCTGTTGCCCTCATTACCTGGAATATCGTATACATGATACAACTGAGTGAATGGCCTCCAGCGTAATCTGACACACAGAAGATGTTCAGACCCCACTTGCTCAAGTTCTCCAGTTCCTGGGGTGGGGACAGAGGTGACAGGTCAGTAACCTACATGGCCCTGGGACCTGGAAGTTACCTCTTAGGACTCTGGACCTCATTACCACTCACCGAATGTGCTTAGCCACACAGAATTTAACACAGCTACTTTCTCTCTCTCTCTCTCTCTCTCTCTCTCTCTCTCTCTCTCTCTCTGTGTATGTGTGTGTGTGTGTGTGTGTGTGTGTGTGTGTGTGTGTGTGATATGCAAGTTAACTTCAGGTGTCTTCCTCAATCATTCTCTCTTTTAAAATTCTCTTTTAGGTTGGGCAGATCTCCCCACACTTGGGAAGCAGAGGCAGAGGCAGGTGGAGGTCTCTGTGAGACTGAGGCCAGCTTGGTCTCCATAGCGTGTTCCAGGCCAGCTGTAGCTATGGGAAGGCCCCGTCTCAAAAAAAAAAAAAAGTCTTCCTTAGCCTGGAGTGGTGACGCAAACCTTTAATTCCAGCATTCTGGAGGGAAGGGCAGGTGGATCTCTGTGAGAGCAAGGTCAGCCTGAGATCAAGGTTAGCCTGGTCTACATAGTGAGTTCCAGGCCAGCCGGGGCTACAAGGAGACACTATCTCAAAAAAAATTCTTTTTTTAACTTTTATTTTTATTCATTTATTTTTATTTTATGTATATGAGTGTTTACTTGCATATATGTATGTGCACCACATGTATATAATGCCTGTGGAGGCCAGAAGAAGGTGTTGGATTCCCTGGAACTGGAGTTATGGACAGTTGTTAGCTGCCATTTAGATGCTGAGAACTAAACCCAAATCCTCTGGAGGAGCAGTAAGTACTCTTTTCTGCTGAGCCATCTCTCCAGGCCCTCTTTTCACAAATATTTTATTTACTTCTGTTTTATGTGTATGGGTTTGTGTGTACACCTGCCATATGTGTGCAGGTGCCCAAAAAGGACTTTGGATGCCCTGGAACTTCAGTTACAGACAGCCGTGAGCGGTTCCTACAGGTGCTGGGAACCAAACTCAGGTTCTTTGGAAGAGTAGCCAGTGTTCTTAACTACTAAGGCATCTCTTCAGCCCGTTACATGTTATTTCTTTTGTGCCTATGTGAGATGTGCGCGTGTGAGTGTACATATGCCATGGAACATCTGTGGAAGTCAGAGGACAATGTTCAGGAGTCAGTTCGGTCATTCTATCATGTAGGTCCTAGGGATTGAACTCAGGTCATTAGGCTTAGTGGCAAACTCCTTTACCTGCTGAGCCATCTTATAGGCCCCATTCTTAATAATTTTGAGACAGGCTATCTCAATGAACCTGGAGCTCACAAATTAAGCTAGAATAGCTGGCCAACAAGCCTCCAGGAGCCTCCTGTCCCTGCCTCCCATTGCAGAAATTACAGGTACACACCACATGTGGGGATCTGAACTCAGCTCTTCATGCTTGCATGTTTACCCACTGAGCCATATCCCCAGTCCCTGCTCTCTCGTTTAGCAGGGTCTCACATAAAGGCCATGCTGGCCTTGAATTTGACCTTGAACTCTTGATCCTCCTGCCTCCACCTCCCCAGTGCTGGGATGACAGGCATGCACTACAACACCTGGTTTCTGTGGTGCTGGAGATGGAACCCAGGGCCTCATGCATGGTAGGCAAGCACTCTACCCACTGACTCACATCCCCACCCCTGTAGCTCCATCTGGCCAGGAACTCTCTATGTAGACCAGGCTGGCCTTGAACTCAGATAGATACACCTGCCTCTGCCTCCCAAGTGCTGGAATTAAAGGCGTGCGCCTTATTATTCACCAAGAACTTGATATGTGCTGGTGGGTGAAGGAAGTAGGCTTAGAAAAGTGACTCGACTTTTCCAATATTCCTCAGCTTACAAGCTGGGATAGGAACCCAGTAAGACTGACTCCTAGGCCTACCCTCAGCCTTTAAGCTAACCTGCTCTTGAGACCCCAACCCTGGGGCAAAGGAATACTTGTTTGTTCCCAGAATACCATCACATAGTAGGCATTCAGTTAACAACCAGTGATTGAATGGTGGGTGAACCAGAGGACTGCTCAAAGTAGATTAGGATGAAGGCTGCTTTTGCAGAGAACCAAGGTTTGGTTCTCAGTACTATACTCACAACCATCTATAACTACAATTCCAGGGGACCTGACACTCCCTTCTGGTCTCCATGGTTATTGCATGACATAGGTGGGTACATTTACATACATGCAGCAAAAACATTCATACATATAAAATGAAAATTGAAAAAAAATATCAGAGCTGGAAAGATGGCTCAATGGTTAAAAGCACTGGCTGCTCTTGCAGAGAATCTGAGATTGGTTTCCAGCACCCATGAGGTGCCACTCCAGCTGCCTATAACTGCAGCTCCAGGGGATCTGACACCCTCTTTTGGCCTGCTTGGGCACCTGTACACATGTGGCAATGTACATACAAACCCATACACATAAAATAAAAATAAAATGTTTTAAAAAGAGGGGCTGGAGAGACGGCTCAGCAGAAAAGAGCACTTACTGCTCTTCTACAAGACCTGAGGTTAGTTCTCAGCACCTACATGGTGGCTAACTCCAGTTCAAGGGGATCTGACGCCCTCTTTTGGCCTCTGCGGGAATTGCAAGCATGTGGTGCACTTACATATGTGTAGGCAAAACTTCATATACATAAAATAAAAAGTAAATTAAAAAACAAACAAAAAAAAGATTCCCTTTTGCCCCAAAGCCTGGCCCTTTGTTAGAGACTCCAGGACATGGCCGTCCCTCCTGCATCTCCCTACTACACCCACTTGTGCCAAGAGCTCCTCCCGGTCCGTCTTCACCCCAAAGCGTGGGATGCTGGTGTCGTTCAAGCTGCCACTGTGCACCAGCTTCTTCAACCCGGTGATCTGTGACATGGGCTGGGACTGTCGAACCGAGGGTGGTACAGGCTGCTGGGAGGGTCTCTGTCTTGCTATATCTTGTGGCTCTCTGTCTTTCATCGTGGGTGATGGGATCTCTACTTCATTCTGTTTGTCTGCCAAAGATTGGAAGGGGGAGAGGTATGAATCTCCTCTTCCTTTTTTTTCTTTGAGACAGGGACTCACTATGCAGCCTTGGCTGGTCTGGAACTCACTATCTCACTGTGTAGAGTAGCCTGCCTTGAATTCAGAGTTTTGCCTGCCTCTGCCTCCCCAGTGCTGAGATTAAAGGCGTGCCCCACCACACCAGGCCCATGAGCCCGCCTCTTCAAGGAGGCTCTTCCCTGATCCCCACTTCCCACTTGGTGTCCTGACATATCTCACCAGATAAGAGGAAATCTTGCTCATGGTTTCTCTGAGGCTGGAAGCCAGAACAGACATAAGGAGTTTTCTGGGAGGTGGTAGGCTGGAGTAGGCATCTTGGAGATGACTCTGGACTATGAATTGTCTGAAGACTGCTGCTGCCCAGCTTGGGCCACAACATGGTATGGGACATGAGGACATGAGAAGGGGAACCCAGGGTGCGCAGCTGCTTGCCCTGAATATCCACAGGCCCTTTTCCACTAGAGAAGACTGCTCTGTGGTGGCCAAGAGTGGTCGTGGGAGAGGGCATTGCTGGGAGGTGGGAGGGAAGGGGGGACTCTCGGTCCATGACCCCCCACTTCGACACCAGCCAGCCTTGGGGACCAGCCCCAAAAACCCTTCTCTTGAACTTTCAAAGGTTCTGAGAGCCAGTCAGACCCATCCCATTGTGACCCTGAAGGACCTAATTTGCATGCCACTCTCTCATTGGTTGCATTCTCAGAATTCTGAGCCATAGCACACCTTCTCCATTAAAGGTAGGATTGAAACTGAATTTTCCACATTGTTTTCTTTTTTTCTTTTTTTTGGTTTGAGACAAGGTCTCACTATGCAGCACTGACTGGCCTAGAACTCACTATGTAGACAGGCTGACCTCAAACTCAGTAAGTAGCCAAGACTGACCTTGAACTCCTGATCCTCCTGCCTCTACATCCTAAGTACTGGAATAACAGATGTGAGCCATGATACCTGGGGATAGTTCTCCAACTGCACAATCGTATTGACCGACTGATAAGTTTGTAGGGTGGGTAAACCAAGTGAGGAATCTATGAAATTTCAAGAGCTTTTTAAATTTAGGTTTTTTTTGTTGCTGTTTTGTGGGGTTTTTTTGTTTGTTTGTTTTTTTGGTCTTTTTGAGAAAGTGTCTCCCTGAATTCACTATGTAGAACAGGCTGGAAATCACAGAAATCCGCCTGCCTCTGCCTCCCAAGTGCTAGGACTAAAGGGATCACTACCACGCCTGGCATAATTTTTTTTTTTGAGACATAATTTTTTTTTTTTTTTGAGACAGGGTCTTACCATGTAACCCTGGATGCTTTGGAATCCAGTATCTAGGCTAGCCTAGAACTCGTACAGATTCAGAAATTTGAGAACTACTGAATTTGGATGATTTTTTTGAATTTGGGGGAGCTTCTAACTTTGGAGGGCAACAGAAGTTTGGAGAATATGGGTTCAACTGAGTGGGGAGACATTCCATTATATTTAATCTGTCTGGGCTTTTTGTGTGTTTGCCCTTTGGCTTTTTGAGATAGCATCTCACTGTGTAACCCTGGCTGGCCTGCAACTCACATAGATCTGCCTGCTTCTGCCTCCCAAGTGCTGGGATTAAAGGCGTGTGCTACCACACCTGGCTTTACTTTTCTATTTTATGTTCCGTGAACATGGGACTCACAGATTTGGCTAAACTAGCTGAGCAGCAAACCCTGTCTCCACCTCCCCAGTGCTGGGATTACAGGTACACAATGTAGTACCTTTTTTTTTTTTTTTTTTTTACTTTTTGAGCTAGGGTCTCCCTATAGCCCCAGCTGGCCTGGAACTTGCTATGTAGACCAGGCTGGCCTTGAATTCACAGAGATCTGCCTGCCTCTGCCTCCTTAGTGCTAGGTTTAAAGGCATGGGCCACCACTCAAGGCTCAGCACATGGCTTTTTATGCGTGTGCTGGTGATTTGAACTCAGGTCCTCGGGCATGTGAGGTCAGCATTTTAATGACTCAGTCATCTCCTCCAATCCTGAGACATTTGTAAATATGTGCTCCATAAAAGTCAGGCAGTCTCAGTAAGTTTAGGAGGGTACTCATGGGTGGGGTATCTCTTGAGCATGGTGACCTTTGACCCTGTGCCTTATCCCCACCCCACCCCATGTGCCACCTTTCACTCACCCAGGAACGTGGTAGAAATGTACTCTGAGACCTGGTTCCCAGATCTGCTCATTTCTGACAAGTGTGTGAGTTCCCGGTTCAGCATCCTTTTGAACTACAGAGGAGAAATCAAGGAGTGGGCAAAGGGTGACCACCCTGGGGTGCACGTGTGTATATGTGTGAGGCCTTCCCACCATACTCTAAAGAACCGGGAATTTCTACACTGAGAGCCCCCATTTGGCTGCTTCGGTGGCTCAGTCAGCCTTTCTCCTCCTCCAAGCTCGACAAGGGCAGGAGGGGGATTCCCAAATGAGGACACAAGGGACCCCCACTCCCTGAACCCCCCCCCAAGAGGCATGCAAGGAGCACCTGTGGAAGGGAGGGGCTCCTGCTGACTAGGGAACCAATGGTGCACCGGGAGATTCCCGTTGCCATGGTGATGGGAGTCTCCTTAGCAACTCCCCCTCCAACCAGCTGCTGAGCTGGGGAAAGGGGCGCAAGCTGAAGGTCTCTTAACCCTTGCCTTTCCAGGGATACCTCTGAGCCTAGGTGTTACCAGACATGAACCTCATTCTGGGGCTGTTGGGAAGTTTGGAGGGGAAGGATCAGAGGACTGGCCTGCAACCGTCACTGTAGCACCCCATTTCTGAGGGAGAAGGTTTCGCTAGGATGAGAAAGGAACAGCCAAGGAAACCCCAGTCCCGTCACCTGGGGGGATTCCCATCAAAGCCCCCTGTTCCCCATCCTCAAGGACGTGGATGATGCACAGACATGTGGAATGGACCCCCAAATGAGTTTGGGAGTCCCCTCATGGTCCTCCATTTCACTTCACACAGCCATCTGCCTGTGACATTGGCTTGGAGGAGAAAGGGCACCAGCTCCCCGCCCCCCCACCCAGTGTCCCCAAAGCAGGGACAGACATCCAGAATCCCAGACATATCCATATCAAGGTACAGATCAGTCACACCCAGCCAGACACCATCCCCAGGGAGACACAAACTCTCTCTCTCTCTCTCTCTCTCTCTCTCTCTCTCTCTCTCTCT